ATCTCATAGACTTAAGCCAAGCAGGGCTCCAGATGAACTGCTTTTTAAAAGAAGGCATGTGGGGGTCAAAGCAGTGTGCCCAGTTTATAGATTTATCCCCTTCAACTTTAGTTCCCACTGTCCATGTCTCTCTGTTTCCAATCAAGCTGTGCCTATGTGGGGAAGAATCAATAGTGGCGTATTTTTTTCCTCACCTATTCTTTAATTTGAAGTATCCTGCAAGGTTAGGCTGGATTAGGGAATTACTAGGTATCTGTCAGCTGGGCTTGTAGGGTAGCTTAGTTGTAAAGCATCCATCCAACGTGTCCAGGCTTATTGCCCAAAACAAAACAAAACAAACAAAAACAAAATACATAATAATAATAATAATAATAATAATAATAATAACAACAACAACCTTTTTTATTTCAAAAAAGAGAAAAAGAAAACAATTAAAAATTTAACAATGTCTTAAAAATACAGTGATCAATTGTAACTTATTCCAAGTACCCTTTAATCTAGGTCTACTTAGGTTATGTGCCCAACAGGTAGAATGATAGCTACGAATTTTTTACCCTTCAATTCAGTGATAGCTAAGAATTTTTCAGCCTTTAATTTTTTTCAGTTGTAACTATGAAATATCTATTGGGAATGATTGGTTGCTGAAACTCAGCTGTGTTGTTAGCCAGAATGACCTATGGTATGTAATATTTACAGGCATGCATACACTTCAGAATTTTTAAGCTGTTTCTCTGGGGATGGGCAAAGGTAGCATGTGACAGATCTCTCAATGTCTCCATTGCCAAGATATATGCTGGGTGTGGTTGGGATGGGATCCATGTGACATGCTACTCATTATTTTTGCTTTCTCAGTCTTGGGAACATGACATTACTGGTCATATTCTACTTTCAGATGGCATGTTCCCTGATCTGCTGATTCTGGAAGGCAGAACATTTTATTTCTCTCTGCATCCTAGTTCACTTTTCCCAGAGCATAGAATTTTCATCATATTTAAATAAAGTCATTATTCAAAACTGTCTCTAATGTGACTACCCACTGAAGTAGTGTACTGGAATCCCTAAGGGGTCCCAGAGATATTTGGGTTTCAATACTGCATGCAAGTTGGTTTGTAAATTATTTCTTTTTTGCTGAGTTGATCCATCTACCATCCTATGGCCTTTTCCCCTACCTTTGCTGTGGTTGATCTAAAGTCTATGCTACTTTAAATGCTATTATTGCCTTCTTTGTATACCATCTGCATGGAACATCTTATGCCATCCAACTATTGTGGTCTATGTGTGTTCTCAGAGTTGAAGTGAGCTCTTAGAGTTGGAAGCATAATACAAGTGGGTCTTTACTCAAACTCCATCAGTTACTCTTTGCCTTTTAACTAGGTAAATTAATCCATTCACAATTAATCTTTCTTTATTTTCTACTTTTTGGAACAATAATGTAGTTACTACTTTCATTTTGACGTGTTTTTTGTCTTCATAATAAAGATATTAACCATGTTTCTACCATGTAAAATATGCAAGTATTCTTACTTGGTCTTTATATTGTTAACTGTGATTTTTATACCTTCTAATATTTCCACTTTAGTCTTTAGCATTTCTTTTGGTTTGAGGAACTTCTTTTACATGGTTTTGTAGGGCAGTTCTGGTGTTGATAAATTATTTCAGCTTCAGTTTGAGAATTTCTTATTTTCTCCTTTTCAAAACAAAACAAAACAAAACAAAAAAACAACTTGGGACTGGGGTTGTGGCTCAGTGGTAGAGTGCTTGCCTAGCATGCATGAGGCACAATCCTCAGCACCACATAATATAAAATAAAGATATTGTGTCCACCTAAAAAAAAAAAATCTTTTCTGGCTACAGTATTCTTGGTTGGCAGTGTTTTTTGCTTAATTCCTCCAGAACTGTGAAAATATCATGACATTCTCTTTTTGACTTGTAGAATTTCTGCTAAGAAGTCTGCTTTCAGCATTTGTGCAATACTCATTTATTTTTTCTGACTGCCAGGAAAATCTTCTCTTAATCTTTAAACTTGGAGAGATTGATCACTGGATGTCTTAGGGTATACTGGGGGGCCTTTTGATCTTTCTGTTCCTAAGTGTTTTTTCTTTCCCTACACTTTCTGTTTTTTTAGTCTCCTCCTGCTTTTAGCCATATATATATTTGTTCCAGGGGAGTGGGTGGTGCTAGGGATTGAACCCAGGGCCCTGTGCATGTGAGGCAAACACTCTATCAACTAAGGAATATCCCTAGTCCATTTAGCTTTATATTTTTATCTCCTCTGGCATTCTCAGTTCCTTCTTGAACTCTGAGAATTTAAATATTTGCATTTCAATGAGATATAAAATGTCTTGTGAGCTTTTTCCATTTTTCTTTCTTTCCCCTTTAAAATCTTCTCTGACTGTATTTTCAAGTAGCCTGCTTTTAAACTCAGTATCTCTTTTTCTGTTTGATGTAATTGGTTACTGATGCCTCCTATCATGTTGTAAATTTCACTTAGTGTACTTTTAAACTGAATAATCTGTTCTTTTTTTTTCAATTGATTACTCACTCACTGTTAAATTTCTCAGAGTATTGAATCTTCTCCTATGTTTTCTTGAAGCTCACTTAATTTCCTTAAAGAAACTGTTTGAATTCTGCATCCAAAAGTTTTTTGCTTATGGCATGTTTGAAATAAATCACCAGGTCAGTCTTGAAGTGGAACATGGAACTTTATTTGCCTGCAGGAGAAAAGGGCAGCAAGCAAGTTACCTCTGCAAACTTTGACCCTTTGTAGAAGGTAGGATACGTTTTTATAGCTCCAAACCACAAGCTGTCAGTAATTCAATACCATGGCAACATAGGAAATGGGCCAGAGTGACTCAAGTCAGGGTACACTGCCAGAGAATACATTGTACAAGAATAAAAGAAATATTTTTCAATCACTATGCCACTATGCCATTGACAAACAGGGTGTGCTAAGAGAGATGTGGGGTGCAGAGGTGGGAGTTTTCTCATGGGAGAAGCATTTCTTTATGAAATGGAATTTGTCTGGTGAAGGCACTTATATCCTGGCTCATAACAAGTGACATCAATTGTTCATTTGTTGAGGTCATGCTTTCTTGAAGATTTGTTGGCTTAAATGCATATGCCATCTGTACATTAAAGAATTGAGTACTCATTTTAGTCTTTATAATTTGAATTTGTTTTTTCTTGTCCTTCAAGAAATTCTAGGCTAGTTGCTCCTTTTCTCTATGCTGTGGATCTTTAAACTATTGCAAGGTTACAGTCTTGGTTTGCCCCAAGACTAAGGTTAATGTGATTGTCACTATTTCAGCACTAGAAGGCAACCTGAACTCAAGTTTGTCCCAAATCCACATTTAATGTGTTGTTTAGAATAAACTGAACAGAATAGATTGAACAAATAATTCTCCATAAAGTATGTGACCAATGTTACACAATTTATTTCAAACATCTTTAGGTATCAGGGAAATGCAAATCAAAACTTCTTTGAGATTTCCTCCCATCCTGGTCAGATGGCAATCATCAATAATAAAAATAGGAATAAATGTAGGGGAATGTAAATTAGTTCATCCACTATGGAAATAGTGTGGCAGTTTCTCACCAAACTAAAAGGAGAACTATCATACGATCCAGCTGCATTACTCCTTAGTATGTATCTGAAGGAAGTGAATTCAGCATATCCACATTTATCAAGACAAGATTCCCATTGCCCAAGTAATGGAATCAAACTAAGTGTCCATCAATTAATAAATGGATAAAATGTGGTATATGAATGCAATGTGGTATATGAATGCAATTGTAATCATACAAAAGAAAAAATCATGCCATTTGCAGGAAAACGAATAGGAGATTATCATGTTAATGAAAGTAAGCCAGACTCAGTCAAATATACATATTTTCTCTAAAAAGAAATGTTTCCTCATTTATCAAGGTGTAGTTGAAATACTCTTTTAAAAAGAAACATTTCCTCATTTATCAAGGTGTAGTTGAAATACGCTTCTAAAAATAAATGTTTCCTCATTTATCAAGGTGTAGTTGAAATACTCTTTTAAAAAGAAACATTTCCTCATTTATCAAGGTGTAGTTGAAATACTCTTCTAAAAAGAAATGTTTCCTCATTTATCAATCTGATCAACCATTTTCCGGGTTTTCTCTTAAATATGTTATCTCTGAGAGAAAAGGAACTAGAAAATTGTTTAATTTTATTTTATCATTTGACACTTACTATGGTGTATTTACTATCTGGTCACTTTCTGTTGATAAAGTGTGTGTCCTTGGCTGGGGCGGGGGAGTGGGAGATTTGGAGTTTTGTTTGCATTGACAGACTGGATTTCTGGCAGTTTCTTTTAGTTATTTGCGTTGTGCTTCAACATTAAACATGAAAGAACTGTTATTGCCAGTTCAAAAGTTTGCTTTGCTCCCCTGCCCACAGTGTCTTCTTTTAAAATCATGTTCTGTATATTTTATGTACACTGGATAACACATTTTATACAAGTTTTTTAGCACCTTTTTCCTGTCTGAAGTGCAATGATAACAAATATATACAAGGAAAGTTAAGTGTAAGTGGAACATTGTACATGAACATAATTGTAACATGATCATAAAATTGTAGTAACAGTTTTCTTCACAAAAGCCAACAAACAGTACGTGTCTGGAAATACATTAAGGCTTAATATGCTGTTGGTATGGACTTTCGTAAACACATTAAGTTCCTTGTAGCTTACACCCGCAGAAAAAATAGAAACATTGTTTTGCTTCTCATTATTCATTAGAAATATTAATCCCATTTATGCGTACACTGAAGAAATTAACCTACTAAGAAATACTGAGCCGAATCTTGTGGTAGTAATTCTCTCTCTGCTCAACCGCACTTGCTGGTTTTACACTCCTTCTGTTTACTGCGCAGGCGTGACGTGCGCAATGCTTCCCTTGAAAAAAGATCCGGCGATACTATTTAAAATCTTCCCTTCCGTTCCGCTCGAGAACTCTTTAAGTTAGGTGGGTTAACCGTCAGGCTGAAAATATTTTCCCGTGGTGAACTCGGTCCTCCATTTTCATTTTTTACTTAGCATGTAAAACGAGTGTCAGGTTTGGAGATAACACCTGAAGTATAGATCCGCGGAGTGACACGGAATTAGTAGGCGGAACACTGAATAGTCAAGATGGTGGCTGCAAAACTGCGAGCCACGAGGTTTGGTAAACAGCTTCAGGGATTAAACTAACTCTGGAATTTGGAAGCAAGTAAAGTTCCTGCGGCCGCGGTGTTTAGCTGGAAGTTCCATGCATCGCTGAAAAGATTGAATTTTATTTTGCGTCTTAGTACTCAGGTCGGACATGGAGCCAGCGTCCGAAGATTTCCTACCGCCGCCTGAGTGCCCGGTGTTCGAACCTAGCTGGGCAGAATTTCGAGACCCCCTTGGCTACATAGCCAAGATCAGGCCGATTGCAGAGAAGTCCGGCATTTGCAAGATACGCCCACCTGCGGTAAGTATGCTTAACGTGGAGTAGGGTAATGCTTTCATTTGCGTTAGGCTTCCCTTATTTAACAAGGCCTCAGATTTATGAATCTGAAGTTTAGATCCTCAGAGTTGAGATTTAAATCTTTCTAACTCATTTCTTATCTTACTTATTAAGTCCGGGCCTCAGGAAACTTGACCAATTGCCAAATTCTTTGTTATGAAGATTTGACGTGGAATGTTTCTGCAAAGAGCCATATGCTGAAGAAATTAACGTAGTCAGAAGTGCTTGATTTAATAACAGAAACAGCGAATAAGACAGAAATTTGTGTTGTTATTAGCAACTTGGCCTGGGATTTTTTTCTCTCTCCCTTAACTTGGGAGTGTGTAAAAACAAACAAAAAGGCACGGAGCATGCGGAAAGGCCTTTTCTGTTGATGATTTGAAACTATTAATTGAAACTGGTAGGAATTTGGCTTAATTAAAAGTGTGTCTTTTAAAAAAATATTTCTTTAAATTTTTGGAGTTGCTGGGAGATTGAACCCAGGGCCTTGTGCAAGTACTCTACCAACTGCGCTACATACCCTGCTTTGATTAAAAATAAAGAATGCTGACAAATGAATCATTATTTAAACAAAACAATGTTTAAGGCCTTAAATTTCTAACTACAATGATGGCTAAATTTATGCACAGCCTACTGCTCTTTTGGCAGGTTTTTACTCTGCACATTTGCTTTTTTTCTATTTATATGTTCATATTTCTCTTAGAATTGATAATTATAGTTAGATGCAACTTTTCCAGAGTACTGAGGGTAAGAAGAAATATTGGGTTAGGTTTGAAAATAAATTTTGTTCACATTAGGTTTATTTTCATTCTTCATAAGACATACTTTTATTCACTTATGTCTTTTCTCTTTTTTCCTTCTGTAAAGTTGGCTCTTAGGATGTGGAGGTTTTTTTATTCGTTTTGATTTTTGAGTGTTAAGGAGGAAGAAGAGCATTTATTAATAGGCTTTTTTCCTTATGGCTCTTCTTTTTTAACTTTCTTTTCAAGAAGCAATCATTGGAAGCTTTTGAAAATGCAAATAAGTACCAGGAAGGAGGGAACAAATGATTATAATTCTCATCCTCTTTCTTCTCCATTGTGCTGTAATCACCTATTTTTTTTTTAACTTCTAGGATTGGCAACCTCCTTTTGCAGTAGAAGTTGACAACTTTAGATTTACTCCTCGAATCCAGAGGCTGAATGAACTGGAAGTAAGTTTGTGAAGTTCACTTTTATAGAGGAACCTAAGTTTTAATCTTGTCTGTTAGTTTTATAATAATGTAGTTAAGGATCTAGGCTTTGAAATCATGCATGTTTAATTTTAACTACAGTTTCCTCTTAGAGTATTGATTTTTCAGGAAGTCTTTTGAAAATTTATTATTACTGTTGTAAAAGGTGGGATTATGAGGAAGGCCTTAAATTTCTGGAAATGATTCATGTATTCTGCAATAGAGTGAGCTTAGAGCTATCAAAAACAGATAAATAATTAGTTTCTCATTTCTTTTCCTATATCAACCTTTCTTATCATTTTGAATTTTCTCAAGGTAGTAAAAGGGCCTTTAAAACATCTTGAGTAAAGTAAACGCTCAGAAGCAAAGATTGCCTCTTAAAACAGTCAACCAAGTGTTCATATTCAAATTAGTATTCAATTTTGTTTTACTGACACTTTGTTTTACTGCTGTGATTTTCAGTAGAATGGGTACTGGAAGCTTCATTTGACTGAAAAGTTAAAAAGGGATAATTTTCAGAAAATGAATTTTGATAATATTTGACATAGAATGGAAAAATATTTTAGTTTTTTTTTTTTGATTGCTTTATCTGTAGTTGGCTATCTGAAGGAAAACATTAAATAGAGCCTAAAAAGTCTTGAGCAAGCCATCTTTAAGCCCTGCATAATTCTTTAAATGTAGCCTCTGAAGACTTTTTCATTTAAAGTATCACCTTATTTCCTCTTGAAGACCCAGCTTATTTGAGCTTTTTGTGGATATTCATGGGAAGGTACATAGTAAAGCCTGAAGTATAGTATATTAGTAGAGAACTGGTACTATAAAGATACTGCTTCTTTACCCACTTTGCACTGGAACAAAGTCAAGTTAAGGAATAAGCCAGCTTCATAGGGCCTTCTCCTCCTCAGGCTCAGACAAGAGTGAAACTGAACTATTTGGATCAGATTGCAAAGTTCTGGGAAATCCAAGGCTCTTCATTAAAGATTCCCAATGTGGAGCGGAAGATCTTGGACCTCTACAGTCTTAGTAAGGTAAGAGTAGTTGATATGTTAAAAAAAAAAAAAAGAAAGAAAAGAAAGAAAGCATTCTTTTATAGAGGATGCTTGTGCTTGGTAGTAGAACATTGTATCTTTGTGGTAGTAAAGGAATGAATGCAGAACCTGATAATATTTTTAATATATTTGGTCCTAAAATGGTTGGCATTGGGGATGATTATATCCCAGATTTCAAGTTTTAGTGCTATTTCTTCTTCTTTTTTGGGGTGTGTGTGTGGGGGGGGTCTCTCCAGTCCAGTTTATTCACATTCCTTTGTATCTTTTCAGATTGTAATGGAAGAGGGTGGCTATGAAGCCATATGCAAGGACCGTCGGTGGGCTCGGGTAGCCCAGCGCCTTAATTACCCACCAGGAAAAAATATCGGATCTCTGCTACGATCTCACTATGAACGCATCATTTACCCCTATGAAATGTTTCAATCTGGAGCCAACCTTGTGGTGAGGACCCTTAGATGGTTTGGGGCCCTAATATGATTTAATTGTTTTTGTTGTTATCTTCCCTTTTTTAATCTGTGCTTTTCTCTTACATTGTGATGTTCTAAGTTTGTATAAAGAGTCTGGAGATACAGAAGTTAGCCTTGGGCAACCTGTTTGTATAAAGAAATCTTATATCTGCTTTACTAATTATATAAGCAATAGAGGGTACTTATCCTGTTACCTCAGCAGTTCCCTGTCTGCTAAGACCTTTTAATGAACCAGATCTTAAGACTGGTGACAAAACTTAAGGTTCAGATCTCCATAGTCCAAAGACCATATTTGTTTCACTCTGCTTTTCAGTTTGCTCATAAAGGTCCAAGGATATTTACTTAAATATCCTCTATTGCTGAATGAGTAGATTTATTTGAATTATATTTTTTTTACTCCAGAGGTCTTTGGTTAACCGTAACGGTCACTCAATTCCTGACCCAATCCTTTTCTTGTTCAGCAGTGTAATACACATCCATTTGACAGTGAGGAAAAAGACAAGGAATACAAGCCCCATAGCATCCCCCTTAGACAGTCTGTCCAGCCTTCAAAGTTCAGCAGCTACAGTCGGCGGGCAAAAAGACTACAACCTGAAGTGAGTATATGTTTAACTTTTTATAAGTAAAGTTTATCTTAAACTTGCTTTTGCATTTTTGTATTGTATTCTTTTTTCCCTCCCATTTTTAATATAACACTGGTTCAATATGAAGTTGGTTGGAAATGAATTTCAGTTATTTTATTATTATTGTTTACAGTTATTTTGTTTTTGCAATTTCACTATTTCACATTTTAAAAGCAAACAAAGCTTTTAATACACTTGATTTTTTTGAAACAGGTTGAGTTTTGTAAAGTAGATCATACAATTTGTTTTTTTGACTATTGTTCTGTGATCTTTTAAGTTATGGTTAATAAAAACCTTGCTGCAAGGAAGGACACAGGAGAGGCTCAAGTAAGCAGTTTTTCATACTGATAAGTCTTCAAAAATAAGTCACTATATATCACTCAAGGTTACTGGGAAACTGTAGTCTTAGTCAGGAGTTAGTCTTAGTAAACAGGTTAGGAGGATTGAGTCCTTGGAATATGGTTAGGAGACTTAAGCTATATAAGCTATACAGGTATTCCCTGGTTGTATGACATCTAGTCTGGAATAATTAAGGTAGAATATTATAGTCCCCTAACTAAGGCTGGACAGACTGGCTAACTGTAAGGTGTTTATGCCTTTCTCTTAGAGGAAGCTTGGCTCTGGATTAATTAGCATTTACCAGAGACACAAGCTTGTGCCTTATGGTGTCTTAAGAATTGGACAGCAAGCTTTACCATTGCCAAATATAACAAAGAGTTGAAACTGTGAACAGTATAGTTTTATTACTTTTCTTCTTGCTAAGCCAATTTTAAATATTCTGCATACAGTTTTTCATACTACTTTATATGTCTGTAACATAAATTACAGTGAAGTAAATCAGATTGAAGTTGTATATTTTTAGGAGTTTTGTGGCTTTGTTTTGTGTGTGCATTGTACGGGAGCTTGAATCCTGGGCCTTACATGCTAGGCAAGGACTGCACAGTTGAGCTACATCTCCAAACCTTTCTTTTTTTGATACCAGGATTTGAACCTAGGGGCACTTATCAGCCGTATTTCCTGCCCTTTAGAGATAGGACTGAGTTGTTTTAGGGCCTTGCTAAATTGCTGGGAAGCCTTTAATCTTATAATCCTCTTTCAGCCTCCTGAGCCTCTAAGATTACAGGCATGTACCACTGCACCAACTTCAAACCTTTTTAAAATTTAAGATGGGTCTTGCTGAGTTTCCCTTTATAGCTTTGCATTTGTGATTGTTCAGCTCTGCTCTTTTGTCTAGCTGGAATTACAGACTTATGTCTAAATAATATTAAATTTTGAAAATTTTAAACTTGAGCATGTAGAACAAAAAATTGAGAATTTTCTATTAAAATTCAGCTGGATTCTACATTAGTCCTTTAATACCTTATGGAAGGAATTACCTCTGGGAAAAAGAAAAAAGAAAGAAGAGTAGCATGTAATAACTTGGAAACCAATAAAGGTTGAAATTTCCAGCCTTGTATACAAAATTTTTTAAGATCAGTCAGATATAGACATCTTTTGTTTTGTAACAGAATATCCATTTTTCTGGAAATTGTAATGATTATTCTTGACTGAATGTGGTGAATATCAGTTACATTTTCTATCAGTCACATTTTCTTTTTTTAAATTTTTTTTTATTTAATTTTTTTAATTATTAGTTGTTCAAAACATTACAAAGCTCTTGACATATTTCATACATTTGATTCAAATGGGTTATGAACTCCCAATTTTTCCCGTATATAGATTGCAGAATCACATCAGTTACACATGCACTTGTTTACAGACTGCTATACTAGTAACTGTTGTATTCTACTGCCATTCCTATCCTCTACTATTCCCCCTCCCCTCCCCTCCCAGCTTCTCTCTCAACTCCATCTACTGAACTTCATTTCTCCCTTGTATTTTTTTCCACTTTCCCCTCACTTCCTCTTATATGTAATTTTGTATAACGATGAGGGTCTCCTTCCATTTCCATGSAATTTCCCTTCTMTCTCCCTTTCYCTCCCACCTCTCGTCCCTGTTTAATGTTAATCTTCTTCTCATGCTCTTCCTCCCTGCTCTGTTCTTAGTTGCTCTCCTTATATCAAAGATGACATTTGGCATTTGTATTTTAGGGATTGGCTAGCTTCACTTAGCATAATCTGCTCTAATGCCATCCAATTCCCTGGATGTGTGTAAATTCCACATTTTTTTTTTATCCATTTATCTATTGAATGGCATCTAGGTTGGTTCCACAGTCTAGCTATTGTGAATTGTGCTGCTATGAACATCGATGTAGCAGTATCCCTTATAGTATGCTCTTTTTGAGGTCTTTAGGGAATAGCCCGAGAAGGGGGATAGCTGGGTCAAATGGTGGTTCCATTCCCAGCTTTTCATCATATTTTCTTTATTCATTTATTTGTTAATAATATCTGATTGCATAGAAGCATCTGATTCCTTATATTAGTTACCATGAATACTGCTGAAATAAACATGGACTTAGAAATATCTTTGGCATATTGATTTATTTCCTTTGATTTATTTCAGAGTGGTGTAGCTGGATCATGTAATAGTTTTATTTTTAGCTTTTAAGGAATCTCCAGACTGTTCTTTTTTGACTATACTAATTTGCATTCCCCCCAACCAGTATTTATTCTTTTATTATTATTATTTTTTTTGGTTTGGTAATAGACATTCTAACTGGATGCAACTGTATCTCCTAGTTTTGATTTGCATTTCTGTGATGAATAATAATATTGCACATTTTTCATTTGTTTGCAATTAAAATTGCATTATATTTTTTATTTTGAGAACTTTCCCGAATGTTTGCCCATTTAAAAATTGGATTGCTTGTTTATTTTGTTGATTTTGAATTTCTTATACTAACTTGTCAAATGAATAGCTGACAAATATTTTGTCCCACCTTATAAATGGTCTCTTGTTGATTTATTATTGTTCACAATTCTGAGTTTCTAATCTGATGAAATGTTGTCAATTTTTGCTTTAGTTTCCTGTGCTTTGGTGTCTATCCAGAATGTCATTTCCTATACCAGTGTCTTGAAGTGTTTCCTCTAAGATTCTCTCTAGTAATTTTAGTTTTAGATCTTATATTAAGGTGTCTGATCTATTTTAAGTTGATGTTTATATGGAGTAAGAGATACTGGTGAATTTTCAGTCTTCTGAATATGGATTGCAATTTACCCAGTACTATTATGGAAAGACTGACTTTCCTCTGTCAATAGTTTTGTGTGTTTGAGACAGTTGGCTGTAGACAAACTTTATTTATTTATTTTTGTTGTTGTTGGACTCTATTCCATCTGGAGTACAAGTGTCTTATTTTTATGCCAATATCATACTGGTTTTGGGGGGGGGTGGTTCATGTTTTTTTTTTTTGTTAGTCTCTGTAGTTAGGTCTTAAAATCTGGTATTGTGATATCTCTAGCATTACTCTTTCTGCTCAGGATTATTTGGCCTTTGGGAATCTTTTGTACTTACATGTGAATTTTATGATGATTTCTTTTCTAGTTTTATGAAAAATGCTATAAATATTTTGATTGGGATTACATTCAGTCTTTAGAATTCTTTGGGTAATATAGACATTCAATTAGAATTAGTAGTGTGGGTTGTTAATACTTTCAACCCATGAACATGGGAGTTCTTCCCATTTTTTTGTGTCATCTTAATTGCTTTTTTTTCCTTCAGTTTTAATTTAGAAGTTTTTCACTTTCTTGGTTAAATTTATACCTAACAGTTTTATCTTTGTGTGGCTATCATGAATGGGTTTGCTTTTATCATTCTCAGAAAATTTATTATATCTCCAAACAGGGATAATTTGACTTCATCCCTTCCTGATTGTATACCTTTTTATTTTATTCTATTACCTAATTGATCTGGCTAAAATGTCTAGTACTACATTGAATAAGAGCCATAAGAGAGGATTTTGTCTTGTTCCTAATTTTAGAGGAAGTACTTTCAGTTTTTCTCCATTTATTCTGATCTTAGCTGTAAGTTTGTTGTGCCTTTATCAAGAGATGATTCTGCTGTGTACCTAATTTGTTTAGGGCTTTTATTATGAAAGCCCAGTGAATTTCATGAAATGCTTTTCTGCATTGGTTGACATGATAATTGATAATCTGGTTTTTATTTTTCATTTTTATTTACGTGGTGGATTACATTTGTTGATTTGTACATGCTGAAACATCCTCATATCCCTGGAATGACAACAACATTATTATGGTGAATGTTTTTCATGTGTTATATTTAACTTGCTAGTGTTTTGTTGAGAATTTTTGCACTCAAGAGGGAATTTGGTTTGTAGTTTTCTTTTTTTGTAATGTCCTTGTCTAGTTTTGGTAATGGGCTATTAATGCTAGCTTCATAGAATGAGTTTGGAAGGATTTCTTCTGATGATTTTTTGGTGTAGTTTGAGAAGAATTATTTGCCAGTCTTAATCTATAGAAGTGACTGATGACATGGAGAGATCAATGACTTAAAAAAAAATGTTTGATTTTTTTTTTTTTTAATACTTCTCAAATGAGTGACATAGCATAGTACACAGGATTATAGGGGTAAGTACCAACATCATTTAGTCAAGAGGCAGAAAGCACAAGGACCAACCATAGCCTGTGTTGTAGCAATTGTAAACATTTTAGAAAGAGCCAATTTGAATAGTTGTAGGGGTTCTGGAGCATGGTGGCTGCTTTTAATTTTCAAGTATCTGACCCTAAGTTGATTTTCAGCAGGAGAAATAATGGTTTTGTAGGTTAGAGGAGAAATTGATGTAGTTATAATTTAAGATAGGTTGATTCATGTGTGAAAAGATGAACTCTTTAACAAGTTTGGCAGTTATCTCTGCATGAGATTGTTGCTTTTATCATTTGTTTTTTAGCCAGTTTATTATTGGAACAAGAAAATTTTTGTGTGTTGACTTTATATCCTTCAATTTTCTTATTGACAATAAAGTCAATAAGTTCTCTCAACTTTAGAACATTACAAAATAGGGAAAACAAAAAATATAATTAATTGAATAAATAGCATTATTATTTATGATGCTCCAAAGTTGGAAATACCTTCAGTGTTGTGTAATGAAAGAATAGATATTAGTTCTAGAATACACATTGATATTTTCATTCAGAGTACTTAGTTACACAAATTAATATGAGAAAAAGAATGTTATTTGTGTTTCCATGTGTGTTTTTGTATACAGAAAATTTATATAGATTTAAGTGTATATAAACTTATGTATAGAAAATAATCTAAGAAATGTTACATGGGAAGGAGAAATGTAATAGGATTAATTGAAAGTGTATTACAGATAAAGTATGAATAAAATACTTCTCAGTGTTCACTAAAAATAGTTACATGCTGAAAATGATTGATATATATGCATACATACACATAAAAAATACATATTTTGGCAAATTATGGATTTACGTTTTCCTAGGTCTCTTGTTATACTGGAGAGAAGACTAATTTCTAATTATTTTCATTTAAAGAGAAAAGGAATACTCTTTTAACTTTGTATCTTTTATATCATTGTAGAAAGGTTATTTATGTTGGATTCTCTACGGTGTAACTTATGAAATTTAAGCATCCGTTTTGTTGCCAACATGGTTATTTCAATATCTTTTACAATATGAAAAAACTGAGAAATAAAAATTATCTTAGAAATATTTTTATTCATTTTTTTCTTACCTGGTTAGACCTTGCCCACAGGTAAAACATTCACAAATGGATGAAAATTGTTGGAAGCTTTTAATCTTTGTGATCTCTTTTACTTTTATAACACAGGGGTGTTTTCTAAATACGAAAGTCTGTATGTTACCTACAAAGTGTTGTGTCTTTACATATAAAGCTCTCATCTTTGTTTGAACTTTCTTTTAATAGCCAGAGCCCACAGAAGAGGACATTGAGAAAAACCCAGAGCTAAAGAAACTACAAATATATGGGGCAGGCCCCAAGATGATGGGCCTGGGGCTTGTGGCTAAGGATAAAACTCTACGGAAGAAAGGTAAACCTTAACTGGCTAAGTCAGTGTGAAAGATAGACTACTAAAATACCATGAGAGGAATGGTTTATAAATCCTGATGCCAGAAAAGGATGTTTTCAGAGTTATTTCTGACTCCACAGGTAAAGAAGGGGTTATGTCGTGTCCCCCAACTCTTACGGTGAAAGAAGAACATGGTGGGGATGGGAAAGTAGTATCAGCATTATCTAAAGAGGACTTGAGTCACAGCATAGAACCCTGCACCAAAATGACTATGCGACTCAGGAAGAATCACCACACTACCCCATTTGTAAGAATTCACCTGTATTTTTTTTTTTAGCAGTTTTAAACTATTTAAATTAGATTCAGTTATTATTATATTTTGTGACATCTTACTTTCCTTTGCTATTTTAGCCCTTTCCTCTTTGTATAAGAAGATTATGGCTAGAAAAAGGAAGAAAATTTTAAGGTATTTAGAGGCAAGAGCAAAATTCCTCTTAATTTTTAGATTAGGATTTTTCACCAAATTGTATTCTCTTTTCAACTCCTTAAAAACAAATCTGAATTTTCATAGTTAAATTTTATAGAAGATAATTTTGTCACATATAAATTACGTGAAAGAACAGTTGTTTCCAGTAAATGCTTTAGGACTTTCAGAGAGTCTGTCAATTTTTGTGTAGTAGTTCTTTTGTAATTTTGATTTACTTATGTGCTTTGAACAGGTGCAATTTATTCTCTTTATTTTACCTTTCTTTCTCCTCTTACTTGAAAGGTTTATATAATCTTCTACAGTCTGTTTTTTTAAATTTCTTTTTTTTTTATTGTCCATCTTTCTCTTCAGCTAATTTCACTATTTTGATTGCTTATGCCTTCTCCTGTGAAAGTATTTATGTTAGGGAAGGCTTATCTTTGAAGGTATGTTTTATATCACATTACATACTCTTCATATTTCTCCAAATAATCTTTATCTGATAACTTAGAGATTATCTTTAATATCACTATCATGTCCTCATTTGTCCTGGGTTTCTTATAGATTGTCATAGATACTTCTTATCCAAATTTGGGAATGATTATGTTTCTCTCAGTCCTGGTATAGTTATTTCTATTTATTTTTTTACTAAAGTATAACTTGGGTACATAAAAATAAGTAGATTAGTCTTGTTTGTTCTTTCAGTATTGGACAGTATATTCTCTTTCATGCTGTTATAGTTGAAAAGTTATATTGCTTAATGATTTCTTCTTGTGCTTTGTTTTCTTATCTCTGACTTTTACACAACTATTTTTTTTATTTTATTATTTTTTATTTTTAAAAATTTTTAAATTTGTTTTAAATAATTACACATGACAAATACAACGACCTTGACATATCATACATTTGAATCAGATGGGATATAATTTCTCATTTTTCTGAGTATACTATAACTGTATCTATTTTATTGTTCAGTGAATTTTTGGTAGATTTCAGTTATTTTTTAATATTTATTTTTAACTGTAGTTGGACACAATACCTTTGTTTTATTTATTTTTATGTAGTGCTGAGGATCCAATCCAGGGTCTCACACGTGCCTGGTGAGCGTTCTACTGCTGATCCACAATCCTACCGTCTAGTTCTTGACTACTTAGAATAATTTCACTATGAATATTAAGCTTTCAAATGTTTGCCTTTAAGTAATATGTAGATAATTTTTTATTGTGAATCTGCCCTAATAAAAATTTATTTACATGTTTTCTTTCTTAGTCCTTGGCACTAGAGTTTTTCAGTAGTATCTTAAGAATTCAGGTTCTTTAGTCTGTCCTTAATGTTTATTCTTGTGACTTCCATTTGGGTCTCTGATTGAATCATTGTTTAAACCAGACATTTTTAGAGTGAAAATGATTATTTACTAAACTAAAACTTACTAAAAGAAAAGGCATAGTTGGTTATTCAGTCTTTTGATCTCTTCTTTTTTAAAATTTATTTTGATCTATACCAAATATTTTCAACAATTTATAATTCTGTAAATGATCCATGCTAGTTCATATCTTATGATTTTGGTTTGTATTTCTGAAACTTTAATAAAAGGTCCTCAGTGTTACTGCCCCCAAAGACATTAAATATGGTTCATTCATTTATTAATGTGTTATATTGCTTAGTTAATTATTCATGTCCTGTTTGTTGTATTTTTACCAGAAAGTGAACTTAAGAGCAAAACATGGTGTGGTAGTTGATGTTAAGAATGAATGATCTGGGCCTGGGGGTGTGGCTTAGTGGTAGAGCACTTGCCCTGGGTTTGAGTTTCAGCACCACATATAAATAAATTAAGTAAAGGTCCATCCACAACCACAACTAAATTAAACAACAACAAAAGAACGAATGATTTTGCAATCTGGAATTTCGAATCCTGGAGTAAGTACCTTATATTTTTATTTTTCCTGTTAGATTGATTCATATATTTGCCGAATATGCTCCCGGGGGGATGAAGATGATAAACTGCTTCTCTGTGATGGTTGTGAAGATAATTATCACATCTTCTGCCTATTGCCACCCCTTCCTGAGATTCCTAGAGGGGTGTGGAGATGCCCAAAATGCATCTTGGCAGTAAGTCTTGTCCATCATAGATGTTTTAATTTTAGTGCTTTTTAATTTCTGTCATTTGTCTTCCTGAATTAAGGGAAACTAAAAGTATATAATAATTTGTATCCTTTTCTGAGTACCTTTTAATTATGTATCTCAAGAATGCTTAAGTAAAGTAGCCATAAGATGGGGACAACCAGAGAAAAAGGACAGTAATTATATGGCTTAAATGATGGCAGCAAAGACAGAAACATTCAGTTTGGTAGATACTAAAGAAATTATCCTACCTGGAAACATAGGAAAACTTGAAGTTGTAGAGTAAGATATTGAACAACCTAAAGAAACTTCTTTAGCCTATTCCTAGTACTTCTTCACCTGTTGCTTTTGTTTTGCTAAAATACGTTTTTATTTCAGGAGTGTAAACGGCCCCCTGAAGCTTTTGGTTTTGAACAGGCTACCCAGGAGTACACTTTGCAGAGTTTTGGTGAGATGGCTGATTCCTTCAAGGCTGACTACTTCAACATGCCTGTACATGTATGTGACTGGGACTGGGATGATATGGAGTAGTTTTCTGGTAATCTTAGTTTTCATGAAGACAAGGTAATAAAGTATAGTGGACTATACTCATATTTTCACCTGATATCATAGATGGTGCCTACAGAAGTTGTGGAGAAGGAATTCTGGAGGTTGGTGAGCAGCATTGAGGAAGATGTGACAGTTGAATATGGAGCAGACATTCATTCCAGAGAATTTGGCAGTGGCTTTCCTGTCAGCAGTAATAAACGGAACCTGTCCCCTGAGGAAGAGGTAATATAGTTGGTGATTTATGTTAATATTGTGATAAAGAAAAGTAAAATTTGTCCTTGTATGCTCTTACACAGTGTTTTTTTCACAATGAGAGATATTAATTTATCTGTTAGTTAACCAGAAGTATAACAGCTGTCATTACTACCACTTTTTTTATCCTTTACGTTAAGAGAGTGATAACTTGATGTAATCATTTAGGAGTTGTACTACTTTGTCATCGTTCTCTAAATGTAAATATTTAAAGCTATCACTCTTTAGTTATGTATAGTGAAAAACAAGTACTGTGATGAATTTTTTTATAGTCATAGCTGAAAAGAACTAAAAGGGTCTTCAAGAAATGCCCTGGCATGATGATGCATTCCTATGAAGTCAGAATGCTGAGACAGGAGGATTGCAAGTTCAAGTCCAGCATTAGCAACTTAGATACTTTCTTAAAATACTAGGAGTTGTGGCTTAAGGTAAAGGGTCTCTGGATTCAGTTCCCCGCCAAAATTAGTGCACTCATTAAATTTGCCATTTTTTTTACTTGAGGTGTAAGACAGACCACTCACTTTATCCTTTAATACAAGATACTATCTTAGATCATATAGATGTTCTAAATGCTCATTATATGAAAAATTGCCTTCAGTAGAGAAGCAAAATATTTGGAAAGATGAAATTAAAAAGTAATCTTCCATATGTAGTATAGGGAATGCAATGTAATATAATTAGATATATTATGTAGTATATAATATAATATGGAATTCCTACTGTAATGATTGTCATGTTGATCAGATGACCAGAGTAAAAATAATTAATATTTGGCTTTGTGTATAGATTGGCCTTTAGACAGATGATCTAGATAACAAAAGTAGTGTTTTGAGAAGATAGTTCAGCTATAAAATATTCAATATATTTATAGATCTGTATAATTTCTATATATGTAGTATCATTTTGCCTTGGATTTTTAAAAACAGACTGTTATGGAAAAAATAATATACTGATTTATATTTATATTTATGAGAAAAGAAGGAAATCACTTATGTCTCCACTGGTAGTATTTTAGTATATTTCCAGTTGTGTTTTGAAATTAAATAAAAATTATGTGATGTTTGAAGTCACAAAAATATGTAGCCTTTTCATTAATTATAAAACATAGTAATCAAATTCTTAAATATACATTTCATTATGAGGACTGAAAGTTTCAAAAATGATTACATTGAGAAACATGCTTTTCTATAAGTATTATATTTCCACTAATAACTAAAGGACCCAGTATCTTAAATTATTTGTTTTCTTACAATTTTTTAGCATTTAAATACATATATATATATATATATATATTATATATATATATATATCTACAAAACCTTCTTGGTCAGTTTTATGCTTTGAAGTTTCATCTGCATTGTTCTTGGCTTTAATTCTTGCTTTTCACTATTGTATAATACTGTGTCCCAAATTTTTTCTAACAACAAATTTATATATTTTCCTATATGAATCATCTTTTATTTTTGCTTTATATTTGCAGTTGAATTGAGGTATATTCAGAATTGATTAATAAAGTGAAATACAAGTTATGCTCAAACTAGGGAGAAGACTTCATTCAGATTTTGATCAATGATAATGGTTATACTGCTAATTTAGAAGCTATAAATTTAATCAAATATGCTTTATATTAGTAATTAATGAGGCCAAATACTTTTCATTAAGGTTAATTGTACAGTTGAACAACTTGAGACATATGATTCATATTTCTTAAACTGTTAGAAGTTCTCAGGCATTTACACATGTATAATAAATACGTGTGTATATAGAGACCTGAGTGTATGCAGTATATTTGTATGTAGTATATATACCTTTTTATATACTTACTATAATTAATTTGATGATTTTATGAAACACATAAATACCAGTCTTTCTTATGTCCCTCAATTCTGTTCCTTTTAGTTTCTCTTGGATTCTGGATGTAGGTTTTTTTTTTTTTTTCTCCTAAGTTATTGTGCTTTATACTTAGAATTATACTTCATTTTTTGCTTTGTTTCTAATTTGTTTCTCTTTCCATTATCTATTGCTTTTAATTTAGCAAGTCCAAGTACACTTTTCTTAACATTTTAAGAGTAACTTATTATTTTTTTGAGCAATGTTAGACTGTTACTATTCAGTCCTCCTGAGCTGTAAAATTTTGGGAGCATGTTTTTTTCTGTTTAAAAACAGAATTTTACTTATTATTTGTCTGTTTTTTTCGTGTCTTTTTGGCTTATTTTACTCATCATCTCACCTTTCCTACAACAGCTCTTTTTAGTATTGGTTGTTTTCCTTTATTAAAATGAATTGTTAATTATTTTCTTTTTATTTATAAATAAAGTCTTTATTCTTGTAGTAGTTTCTCTTGTTTACTCTCAAATACATTAAAAAAAAGTCTAATTTGACTCCATTTTGAAGTCAACTCTAAAAGTACTGTAATCTGTTTTTTTCTCTAGATGGTTATTAAGATCTCTTTGTTTTAAGCTATGCAGTTTCTCCTTATAGATATGACCTTTTGTTTAACCTCCTAGGGATTTAAAGGATTTCTCATATATGTGAGTTCAGTTTTTATAAATTTTAGAAAATATGTGGCCATTAACCTCTCTTTCAGACTTTGTATCTTTTAAGAATTTAATAATTCTAATTTTTTCTTCCACATTTCTTATGTTATATTTTTATATTATATATTTATATGATCATATGCTTATAATTTATATATAATATATATTATACATAAAAATGTTTTATAAAAATGTTTTATTTTTTTTCTATTATATTCTAAATTTCAGAATGTATGTTTTCTTATTTAAATGACCCTTTTAATTTCTGAAATATATTTTTTATTTTTAGAATTGCTGGTTGATTGTTTACCAGATTTACCTAACAAATATTGAGGTCATTTCTTCTTCATGCTTCCTTTCCTGTGCTTTTACAGTATAGTGTTAATTACCTAAGTGGTGTTTTTTTTCCTCAATAAATTTTCACTAATTTCACAACTTCATCCATATGTTGTGACTTTATTCTGTTAGTTTATTGTGAATTCTTTGAGCCATATAAATACATAGAACAAACTTTTTTTTTTTTGAAGTTGATTTTTAAATGTCCTGCTCAAGTTTACTTAACACTGGTTCTATTAAATACCTAAAGACACTGTAATCCAGAAATTTATAAAAATACTTTTATCTTAACATTTGCATGTGTGAAGTGTAGCCATAGTCTGTTTTGATAGGCCATGAATAAATCTGGATAAAATATTTCACAAGCATTTTTCTTTCTTTTCTCTTCACAGAAGCTAAGATAGGCAAATATGTTCAGTGTCTTATTCCTCCATTTTGCTGCCAGAGGGTAATGTTTATTACAGCTATGATAACTTTATGTTGCAATCTATTGTATTCCGTCTTTTGGAAGTAAAAAGTCTTGTTTTCTTATTTAAACTTGATATCCAAAAATTAATTGACTAAAGGGTAACATCAGTTTCAGAACTTCTGTTCATGTGTGCTTTGTCTTGTTTCGTCTTTCAAATATTCTTCTTATTTAAACAAAATTTGTATGCAGAACCTGAGGTGGTTTGTGATTTCTTTGAACATGTAACTATAATCACCTTGAAAATTAAATAGTATATATTAAATGGTAATCCAGAAGTTTTTCAGTATATTGTTGAGCAATAAAGTAGGTAAGTGTAATTCTATTGTTTTTTGTTTTCTTTCTTGTTTTTTTGTCAATGATTCATTTCTCTTTTTCTCTGATTCTTTTTTGATAGTCTCAAAATCAGAGCCTGACAAATTAAAATATTGATGGCAGCTTTTATTTAGGATTTCCAAAGTTTTGAAAATGAAAATCTCATGTAGAAATAACCTCTTATTGAAATACAGCCCAAACAAGTGGGATATACACTTAAGTAGGAAAGTGGATGGTAGATGAAAAAATTGGTCAATGTTGAGAGTAGAAATTCTTTTCTTGCTGACTTAGGGTTCTGTATGAGAACTGGGTTTTCTTGTATAAGAAAGTACAGAGAGTGCCCTAAGATAAACTTTACAAAACTGATTAAAATTTTAGCCAGTCTAAAAATTTTGTCAAAATGCTTCTTTTTCTCTTTTTTCCTCTTTTTTTTTCTATTGCATTATAGTTGTATATAATTTTGGGGATCATTTTGATATAGTTATACAAGCATAAAACATAATTTGCTCTAATTTAATGCTAAGTACTTTTCCCTTTTCTCCCTCCCACCCTTTCGTCCAATCTTGATCTTTCTTTCTTTATATATTTATATACATTGTTTTTATAAGTAGTGGCTTTGTAGATACACAAAGAAGCGAAATTCACTGGGGTGTATTTATGTACATACATGATTTTATATATATAAATACATATATACACAGACATATGATGTGTATATATACACACATGTGAACTTATATACATACACATGTATGTCTGTGGGCATATATATATACACACACACACATACACATGACATACATACACACAAACACCAATGAATTTCATTATTTTATATATGTTTATATTTGGATTCATAGTTTACTTTAGTCAGTTTTATTTCCCAGTTTCTCCCATTTCCTATCTCTCCTGCCCCTCAGTCTCCTTCCTTTATTCCATTGATATCTGTTTTTATTGGATTTCCTCTTCCTCCATCCCAAAGATACTTAAGTTGTTGTTTTTTTGTTGTTGTTTGTTTGTTTGTTTCTTATTTGGTCTAGCTTTTGCAAATGAGAGAAATCATTTGACCCTTAGACTTTATGGTTGCTTGTTTTATTTAGCATGATGATTTCCAGTATTATCCATTTACTGGTGAATGCTATAATTTCAACTATCTTTATGACTGATTAAAACTCCCTTGTGTACATATATCATATTTTCTTTATCTACTCATATGTTGATGGACATCTGGACTGATTCCATAACTTGGCTATCGTGAACTGCATTATTATAAACCTTGATATGGTTGTATCCCTTTCGTATGTTAATCTTACCTCTTTCGGATAAATACCCAGGAATGGGATAGCTGGGTTCCATTCCTAGTTTTTTTGAGGAATTTCCACATCACTTTCCAGAGTGGTTGCTTTTATTTGCAGTCCTATCAACAATTTATTATGTATGTTTTCCTTCACATTGTTACCTACACTTATTGTTATTCATATTCTTGGTAATTGCCATTCTGATTGGAGTGAGAAGAAATCTCAGTGTAGTTTTGATTTGCATTTCCCTGATTACTGTGGACATTGAACATTTTTTCATGTATTGGCCATTTGCATTTCTTTTGAGAAGCATCTCTATTGTTCATTGTCCATTTGTTGATTGGATTGTTTGGTTTTATTGGTGTTAAGTTTTTTGAATTCTTCATATATTCTGACTAGTAGTTCTGTAACTGAGGAGTGGGAGGCAAAGATATCCTTCCATTCTGCAAGCTCTCTGTTTCTGTTCTTGTTTCCTTTGCTGTACATAACTTTTTGATATAAGCCAGCCTACTTTCTGATTCTTGGTTTTATTTTTTGTGCTTTAGGAGTCTTCTCAAGGAAGTTGATACGGGTGCTGATATATTGGAGTGTTGATACTATTTTTTTCTACTAGCAGTTGTAAAAGTTCTGATCTAAGTTGTAGGTCTTTGATCCACTTTGCATTGACTTGTGCAAGATCAAGTTTCATCCTGTGTATGGATATCCTGTTTCCACAGTAGTGCTTTTTTAAATAGTCTGTCTTCCCTAACATACATTTTTGGCATACTTATCAAGTATTATTTGACTATCTTTGTCTCGTTGTCAGTTTCATTGGCTTTCAGGTCTGTTTTGATGATAGTACCATGCTGTTATTGTCACTGCAGCTCTGTAGTATAATTTGAGTTGTGGTGGTTTGATGTCTACAGCATTACTCCTGCTTAGGATTGCTTTGGCTATTCTAAGTCTTATTCTTCCAAATGAATTTTAAAACTGTTTTTCTCTAGTTCTGTAAAGAATGTCATTGGTATTTTGATAGAAATTATGTTAGATCTGTATAACACTCAAGGTAGTATGGCCATTTTGGCTGTTTTCTGCCATTCTGCCTATCCAGAAACATGGGAGATTTTTTCCATTGTCTTAGACATCTTTAGTGTTCTATAGTTTTCCTTGTGGAGCACCTTCACCTTCCTTTTTTTTTTTTTTTTTTTTTTGAGGTAATTGTGAACGAAACAGTATTTTTACCTTTTCTTTCACCTTTAGTAAGTTAAGTATTATAATATAGGAAACCAGTTGATTTGTGTACGTTGATCTTGTATCTTGCTGATTTGATAAATTTGTTTATTAGCTATAGCAGTCTTACTGTGGAGTGTCTTGGGTCTTGTATGTGTGGGATAATGTTAGGAAAGGAGATAATTTGACTTCTTTACTTGCTTATTTCCCTTTATTTTCCTTCTCTTTTCTGATTAAACATAAATAGAAGTGAGAGTGGACATCCTTGTCTTGTTCCTATAGGAAATACTTTCAGTTTTTCTCTGTTTATATGATGTTGGGCTAGAGGTTGTCTTTCCACTGAGGTCATCTTTTCCCTCTCTGCTTCTTTCTGGAAAGGGTTGGGAATCTTCACACAATTTAGTTTAGTTTAACTTAGTTCCTAATACTTCTCAAAATATTGACCCACTGTCTTCTTTAAAATCATTATTTTCTAGTGTAATTTTTGAATTCTCTTTTCTTTTTATTATTTTAAATCTACTTAGTAGATACATCAGTGAATAAAGCAAATGTCTTATAAATTACAACAGTCTAGATTAAATGAAACCAACTTAGTTTCCATGGTGTACAACAGCTTTGTTTCTCTAGAAGTCCTTTCCTATCCCCTTGTCATTACTATAGCAAATTAATTTTTATAACTTGTATGCTTCTTAACATGATTAGTGGTGTTATATATGTCTGTATTGCATGTCTTATGGGGCTAAAACGTTTCAAAGAAAAGTGCAATCAATACTAATGACCATTACTTTTCCATATGTAGTTATCTCTATCATTACCTTATTGTATAGTCTTGAGTTACCCTTCAGTGTTTTTTGTTTGATAGGTTGTTTTCTTTATTTCTGCCTAAATAATTCTCTTTACCATTTTTCTGTATAATTATATTAAACCCAGATTTTGTTTTACAGGATCTATGTATACAAAATATAAAATAAATATGTATAATATAGATTACATCTTTGCTTTCTCAGTAACAGTTTCTATTTCCTTTCTATTCTTTCTCATTTTTGTTTTTGTTATTTTTAGTTAGTTTGTTTTTTAGTGAATGGTGCATTCTTCTTGTTTTTTGTGTGATAATCCTGAAAATCAAAACAGGACTTGCACATCTGAGTTTTATTTTTCTGCCTTTCATGACTTAAAATTGTTTATGGTGACTTTTCTAATCTATTAATTAAGACTTTTCTTTGTCACATTTTGGCCCTGAATACTCTTTCATTATTTGCTGTGAAACTCTACTGTGACCTTATGTTGGTTAGGTTGGCGTATGGCCTGCCATTTACAGCTTTTCTCTTCACTATCTGCTTGCATAATACTTGAAGCAAGTGACAATTTCTATTTTCTTTTTATCCCTTACAGATTCTAGTTTCTCTTTTGAGCTTATTCTCTATCCTGGGTAAATGTGGTTTTCTAGATTCTTTGTGTTAAGTGGAAGCATTTTAGAGCTCTTCCACTTTTAGATTTTAATATCTTGTCCATTGTTTGCCTCAGCTGCTATTTTTTCCCTGGGAGGAATGGCTAGACCATTTTCATTATCATATTTTGCCCTTTAAGTCTGCTCTTTGACCCTAAGATAATAAAATTACACAAAGTCAAAATAAATCCTTTGCATTTCTAAAGCACATTCACAACTAGCTCTAAACACAACTCTGAGAGCAAATATCTATTCTGTTCCATGGTGCCTACCCCAGAAATGTAGGCTGTTGTCTTCATCTACCAATAATCAAGAAGTGAGGCTTGGGAAAGGATAAGTTAAAATGTTATGAAGCTTTTCTGTTGTGCTTGATTCTCTTTTCTCTTGATGCAATATAATTTTTGGTTTTATCCTAAATTGTGATAAATTTGAATTTGGTGATTTTTTCACTTTTATTTTAATATTTCCGTGGACAGATGTCCCTTGAAGTTTCTGAAACTTTCTTAAAATTTCACAGACATCCCTCTGGCCTAGTAATGAATGATTAATAACTAGTTTCAGAGCGCAGAAAAGAAAGAAATGAATAAGACAATGTAATTAATAATTTATAATCTTGGGAATAGGAGAACCTAAAATAACCTATGGAAAGTAGTGAGTATACTAATACTGGTATCTACGACACACACACACATTTGTGCATCATACAAATTTCTACATAAAAGTCCAGTAGAATAGAGGAAAGGGAATAGCCGAGGGAGGAGGAGAGAAAAGTGGTAGTACTTTTCCAATTCAAAGACTGAATTGAAGCAAATTATATCTCATCCTTCTGTAATTGTTTCAAAATGTACCTCAGTATTACATGTAACTAATAAAGAGTTTATAAAATAAAATTTAAAGTAAAATAGAACTGTGATTAAAACTAAGACTTAAGAACATATTTTTTTTTAAATACTTGGGATTGAGCCCAGAGCAGTTTACTATTTAACTATATCTCCAGTCATTTATTTATTTGTTTATTCATGTATTTTTACACAGGATTTATTAATTGCTTAGGGCTTTACTGATTTGTTGAGACTGTAGAACTTGGGATCCTCCTGCCTCAGCCTCCCAGATGACTGGGATTGCAGACTTGAACCACCACTTCAGATAAGAACATGATATATTTTTTGGTATTGAGAAGAAATAAAGAGAAAGTAACACTATTACATTGTCTATAAATGTTAATTAGTGGCCAACAGAGGGTCTGCAGTTTAGCAGATAACTAATAAATGGGTTAAAGTGACCTTAAAGAATATTTATGAAGAGTTTCTGAAGCCAGGTGTATCTTAGTCTATAATACTTTAGGCTATAGGGCTCTTGTCCCTAGAAGAAAGATTTGTTTTATACATGGATGAAAGGATTGTGAATGCTAACTAGAAACATCCCTAAGAACACAATTATCTTCCTCTGTAGGTCTGTTTCAGTCCTGCTCTGTTGCCACTCTGACAAATCTCTGACCCAACAGGAGTATGCAACCTGTGGTTGGAACCTGAATGTGATGCCCGTGCTGGATCAGTCTGTTCTCTGCCACATCAATGCAGACATCTCAGGCATGAAAGTGCCGTGGCTGTATGTGGGCATGGTTTTTTCAGCATTTTGTTGGCATATTGAGGATCACTGGAGTTACTCCATTAACTACCTGCACTGGTGAGCAGGATCAACAGTGGCTGGGATAAATATCAAATATCAAGACTCCTCCCACTAGGCACAGTATATGTAGACTTTAATATATGTCCTCTCTATCTGAGCAGGGGTGAGCCAAAGACCTGGTATGGAGTACCCTCATTGGCAGCAGAGCATTTGGAGGAGGTGATGAAGAGTCTGACACCCGAGCTCTTTGATAGCCAGCCTGACCTTCTACACCAACTTGTTACCCTCATGAATCCCAACACCCTCATGTCACATGGTGTGCCAGTGAGTACATGGAAGAAGGGGAAAGGGGGAAAAATGCAGTAATCTCTGGAGGAATAGGAAGACATAATAAGAGCTCAATTTTGGAAGAAGTAAAGTTATAAGCACTTTACTGGGTAGACTAGATTTATCATCACATATGTCTCCCCTTCCATGCTGCTGTCAAGTTGCTGTCCTGTGTAAGCCACTGCTGTAGCAAAGAAGAGATATGAGAGGATTACTTAGAAACATAAAAGTGAAAATGAAAACTTGAATCCTGCATCTTAATTAGTGAACAATCATTTTCCTCTTAGCATTACTAGGCACTAATTTTAACTTTAAGAAAACTCAATGGAATGAGGGGGTGGTTGTAAACTTTTGGGATTCTCCAGGGTTGATTTTTATCAGCTTGCTCTGCAAAGGAATAAGCCATCAGTCTGTCAGAGATGAATGAAGGTGAGTACTCTTTTGGCACACTATGCTTTTTTACACAATACTTTTTCTCATTTCAGTGTGTCTAAACTATTGAACTTCTACAAAAAAAAAATGTATACTTGATTGCCATTTCCTTGAGTTTTTCCATCTGAACAAAATGGATTTGGCATCTCCAAGATTTCCTTCCTTATCTGATGTTTCCTGAATGCTATCTTGCATGGTTTTCCTCTTTTTCATAATATTATTTTATCTTATACAGAAAAAATAGAATGTTAAAGATAGTGAAATCATCCAGCTTTCTATAGTTGCACTTTTCTCCTTCCTCATGACTCTAGTTCTACTTTAGTCAGCTTTTTCATGCATGTGAAGAAAAGCTCTGACAGATTAATTTTAGAGGAGGAACATATATTTAGAATTCAGTGGTTTCAGAGGTCCTTGGGCCTAAGTGAGACAGAACATCAAGGCAGAAGATGTGGCAGAGGAAAGCAGCTCAGAACATCACAGGCAGAATGCATAGAGCTTTGTTCACAGGGGACAAAATATAACCCAAAGGCACACCCCAGTGACTTAGCTCCTCCAGCCACACTCTTCCTACCTGCAGTCACCACCTAGTTAGTTAATCCCTATCATGTGGGATTGATGCACTGATTGATGCTCTCATAATCCAATAATATTACTCAGAACCTCTTGCTTTGTGTTACACATGAGCTCTTGGGGAACATCTTACACAAATCATAACATTTTATTGTGTGTATTTCTGGGTTTTTGTTTTGTTTTGTTTTATCTATGTGCCCTACATGTGCTCTGCACAAAGTCCATGCACACTTTAGGTTGGACTTGTTTTTTACTAGGAAACCTATTTGCTGTTAATACAGTTGCTCATAGAATTCTCTGTTTGCATTTCTATAAATATGATATTAATATCCTCACATTCTTTTTTATTGGTTCTTTTTAGTTATAGAGTTCGTTTTAATCATCTTATACAAGGATGGAATGTATTGTATTCTAATGAGGTCCCAGTCTTGTGGATGTTCACAGGGGTGAGATTTGCTGTGAAACCACAGAGATGTACCCAGTAGAAAAGTTAGGTCAAATTCTTTCCACTTTCTTTTCTATTTCTAACCCCCTTTCTTCTCTTTTGTCCCTTTGTCTAATCCTCTGAATACTATTCCTAATCTCCCCACTCCTGTTCTCCCATTGTGGTTTAACTTCCACATATCAGAGAGAACATTCAACCTTTGGCTTTTGGAGAATGGTTTATTTCACACAGCATAATACTATGCAGATACATCTATTTAAAGGCAAATGTCATGATTTCATTCTTCTTTGTGGCTGAGTTATATTCCATTGTGTTCCACAATTTCTTTTTCCATTTATCTATTGATATAACTTAGCTACTATGAATTAGGCTGTTTTAAACATTTATGTGGCTGCATTATTCTAGAATGCTCATGGTAAGTCCTTTGTGTATATACAGAGGAGTGGGATAACTGGGTTAAATGGTGGTTCCATTCCAAGTTTTTTGAAACATCTCCATTTTGCTTTCCAGAATGGTTGTACTAATTCAACAATGTATGAATGTTCCCTTTTCCCTGCATCTTCACCAACATTTATTGACTTGTATTCTTGATTGTTTCCATTCTGACTGAATGAGGTGAAACCTCAGTGTAACTGCATTTCTCTAATTGCTACAGATGTTGAATATGTTTTAATATATTTGTTGACCATTCATAATTCTTCTTTTGAGAAGTGTCTGTTTACTTCTTTGGCCCATTTGTTGATTGGGTTGTTTTTTGATGTTAGTTTTTTTGAGTTCTTTGTATATCTGGAGATTAATGCTCTATCTGAGGTGCATATGGCAAAAATTTTCTCCCATTCCGTAGGCTCTCTCTTCATGTCTTCATTGTTTCCTTTGCTATAAAGAATCTTTTTAGTTTGATTTTATCTCATTTATTGATTTTTAATTTTTACTTCTAATGTTTTAGGAGTCTTGTTTGGAAATCAGTTTCTAAGCTGATTTTTACATTCATTTTTAATTCAGATTTTTGCCTTCTCTGTCATGGTCAAACTAAAAGCTCCTTAGTTTTCTTAGCTGTTTCAAGGAGTAAAGTTGCTTTTCTCAGTCTACTGTTTTTCTGTTCTTTATTTCATTTATCTTCTTGATAAATCAGCCCATCAATATATATCAGCTTGTCTGTCATTTTTTCCTTTTGTCTCCTACACCTCCAGTCATCCCAGTCCTATTTTTTCAATGGGTGTTTGGAATATCTTTTTCTGTTCTTTTGTTTTCAGTCTCTATGTGCCCTTGCAAATAAGATAACTCTGTTATAGACAAGATAGTTGCAACATGTTTTTATTCTTGGTACCAAATTTTGGTTTCTTAAATGTGTGATTTTAATATGAATGGAATCATTGCTAAGAAAGGACCTCTTTCTGCCACTTACGGTATTTCCTTTCTACATATTGTATATTTTTATTCCTCGGTTCTTCAGTTGCTTTTTTTGTTTGTACTAGAGACAGACTGCCTCATTTTTGACATTGGGTTGAATTCACCATCTTCATCTTTCTCTTTTTTCCAGTATTTGAGATTGAATCTGTGATGCTTTACCATAATCTATACCCTCAGATCTTTTTTTTTTTTTTTTTTTTTAATTTTGAGAAACTACATTGTCATTACATTGGTGAGGCTAGTCTTGAACAGGTAAATCCCCCTCTCTTATCCTCCTGAGTTGTTGGGATTACAGAAGTCTGTCACTGTGCCTGGCCCACACACCATCACTTTGAATATGTCACCCCACATCTTCCTAGACTGAGATTTCTAATGAGAATTTTATTGAGAATCTGTAACTGTAATGCATCTCTTCTTTTATTGCATATTAGATTCTCTTTATGTCTTTTCTTTTGCCAAAGATGTGTCTTTCATTTTTTTCTAGGTCAAAGTGCATTAAATTTCTGGAATATGTGTTTCATGTTTTCCTTAGAGTTTGGAAATTGTTGAGACATTATTTCTTCAGCTTTTCTTTCTGCCTCTTCTGGAACATGCATTCTGCATATGCTGGTGCATTTGATGGTCTCATAGACTCTTGTTTTTATTCAGCCTTTATTTTCTCTGCTTCTCAGATTTGAACTTAAATCAACTTCTTAAAGTTGGCTGATTTTTTTTCTGCCTACTAATTTTTAAACCACTATGTTTATCTAGTTATTGGACATTTTAAGACCTGCTTTGGAATGTAATGAATATTCACTCACTTATAGGGCTATCAGAACCAGTTTTTTTAATTGTTTAATTTTTGTAGCTATCATTGATTGATTGGGACTTTGGGGGAGACATCATTCTCTTTGGTTATTTATGTATCACTTCTTTAAGTATTTGAGAGTACTTTAAATAGAGTTTATGGTATTTCAGTTTTTGTGCTTGGTTTTCTTTTATTTTATAGCCATACTTGGTGGGTTTATTAAGTATGTGTTGCCAATTTTGTGTATGTTTTTCAACTCAAGCAATTGCATTATTCTTCCTGCCCTCTTCTTTCTTGTTTTTTTTTTTTGTGTAGTGCTTGTATAATTAATGACTTCTGAATTCAACACCCCACTGCCCCAAAGAAATCTCAAACCCATGAAGTTATTTCCCATTTACCTCTTCAGCTAGGTCTGAGACCATAGGTTTGTTTTTATGTTTATAATAAACTTACTTATTCTAGATATTTTTTATAAACCGAATATGTGGTCTTTTCTGTCAGACTACTTGTATTTTAGGTGTGATCATCCATAGTGTAGCAGCATGTGTCAGTAGTTCCTTGCTTTTATGGTTGAGTAAAAATAATGAAGGATAATGAAAGATAAAAACAAATTACATTGTGCTTATCCTTCATCAGCTGATGAGCAATAAGGCTCTATCCACTTTGGGGCTATTGTGAATGATGTCCTTGTGAATATTTGTTTCTAAAACCTGTTTAAGCCCTTTCAATTTTTTGGCCACACACCAAAAGTAATAAATATTATTGTATGGTCATATGATAATTCACTTTTACTTTTTGAAAAACCTCCAAAATATATATTAGTTCCAGGGTCTTTTCTCAGTCCCCTAAATGGTGCTTATGAGTTCCAACTTCTCATCTTCACCAAAATTGTTTTTTCCCTGCCCCGGCATGTATTCATCATGGTAAAAATTTTCTTTACAGTGGCCTTCATATGGTTTTGATTTACATTTTCCTTCTAATGTACAATGTTTTGAATCCTCTTACATGCTCTTTTAAAGTCTACATTGCTTTTCTGTATTCTTCCTAGAATATTTATCTACTAGTCATGGTTTTCTTTAGATCCCTCTACTATAGTCTTCCCAAGTTGCATCTGTTTTAGAATCATCTTTAGTACTATTTAAATTTGTTCAGCCTTCACCTCCTACTTGGGCAATGCTTGAAAAATCAGAGTCAAGAGCTACAGTTTTCTGAGGTCTTTTCTGATTTTCTCTGAATATTATTTTTAATATTCATAATCTTTTCTTCTTAGGGCCTATAGGTGAAGATAGAGCTTCCAACATCAAAAACAGCATTTGTAACATTCGTAAGTCAACATCCTGCCATTAGTTTTCACCCACACTACTTATTTTTATTTTCTTCTTTTCAGGTTGTCCGCACAAATCAGTGTGCAGGTGAGTTTGTCATCACTTTTCCCCGTGCTTACCACAGTGGCTTTAACCAAGGCTACAACTTTGCTGAGGCTGTCAACTTTTGTACTGCTGACTGGGTAAGTCTAAAACATAGTGAACCTGCAGATAGAAAGACAAAAACAATTTGAGTAATTGTGGCTGTGGTAAGCATTGTGGTTTCCAGCTAGCCATATGCAGTTTTAAACACATTTGCAGCTACCTGCTGGACGCCAGTGTATTGAACACTACCGCCGGCTTCGGCGCTATTGTGTCTTCTCCCATGAGGAGCTTATTTGCAAGATGGCTGCCTTCCCAGAGAAGTTGGATCTGAATCTAGCAGTGGCTGTGCACAAGGAGATGTTCATTATGGTTCAGGAGGAGCGACGTCTACGAAAGGCCTTGTTAGAGAAGGTGGGTGGTGAAGACCAGGGCTTCAGAATTCAGTGGATATCCTATTGTAGAGAGACACAGACCTGCATTATGTAAGCACTCTATGCCATATCTTTAAATCATGCATTTTGAAGTGAAAGGGCAGACTATATGTGTTCATATTTTCTTCTTCCAATTTCTCTACAGCTATCCTTACAAGGTTGAGCCCACAACAGGGGCTCAGTGTTGGCTGAGGTGGGGTGTTCACAACCCTGCTCCTAGTCTTTACAGTATATATGGGTTGAACACCCCCAGGGCATCACGGAGGCTGAGCGAGAGGCTTTTGAGCTGCTTCCAGATGATGAACGTCAGTGCATCAAGTGCAAGACTACATGTTTCCTATCAGCTCTAGCATGCTACAACTGCCCAGATGGCCTTGTCTGCCTATCACACATCAATGATCTTTGCAAGTGTTCAAGTAGCCAGCAGTACCTACGGTGAGTCTAAAGTCTGTCTTCAAGAGGTGAAAGATTACAGAACTGGGCCAGATGTGTTTTTCAACCCTCTTCCTCCAGATATCGTTATACCTTGGATGAGCTGCCAACCATGCTGCATAAGCTGAAGGTTCGGGCTGAGTCTTTTGACAATTGGACCAGCAAAGTGCGAGTGGCCCTAAAGGTGGAGGATGGGCGGAAGCGCAGTGAGTAATGGGAAATGGAAGGATGTTTTCAGCACATTCTTTCTTCAGTATTCCTAAACACTCTTTTCTGCCTTTTATAACCTTGCCCTCCTCTTGTAAATTGGATTATTTCTGTAGGTGTTGAAGAACTAAAGGCACTAGAGTCTGAGGCCCATGAAAGGAGGTTTCCTAATAGTGAGCTCCTTCAACAGTTGAAGAACTGCCTGCATGAGGCAGAGGCTTGTGTTTCCCAAGTCCTGAGGCTGATCAGTGGCCAAGAAACCAGGTATGTAGAGGAGAGAGCAATAACAGTGTGTAGTGTGTAACAGTGAATAGCAAAAATGGCTAGGCCACAAGAAGGAGTTTATTGAACAAAAATTAGTATGTTATATATGACTATTTGGTAAATGAAACTTAGATAGCCCAGTTTAAGAAATACGGACTCAATATTGGGCAAGTTATAGAAAGAATGTACATAACACTTGAGCGTTACCTTAGGAGTGGAGTATGGAACTAGAAATTATGTAAGTAGACAATTTCAAACTATAAGATGTAGTTTGGAATTATACCATAAATGGCAGTAACAATGAAGATGTCAGCAAAATTTCTTTACTGCCCAACTTTATAGAAAATCTTACAAAAAAGATTCAGGAATCAGAATTCTTTGGAAATCTATTCCTGGCTCTGTAGCTGGATGAATTTTAGTGATTAAATCCAAGGATTTTATTGGATTGTCAAATATAGATGAAATTAGATACATCTACTTGCAAGTTCAAATGATTATATTGTGTATGTTTTAGTAAAAAATAGAAATACTAATAGCTAATTGCAGTATTAAGTCAAGTATAATTTAAAAAATTGAAATACAATTTTAGAAAGATAAAAGGATAAAAAAGGATATTTACAAAGATAAAAAGTAACAAGGAATGAAAAATACATCAGGAATGGTTATTTGGTTAAGTGCCACTATCAGAGAACCAAAAAAGATAAAATAAGTGTATCATTTCTTTGAAACCACTTCTACCGAAGAATCTAAATAAATTTTCCAGATATGAGGAGACAGTAAATAAAATTTGAAATGGAGAAGTACAATAAAAAATAGAAAGTTCGATATTGCAGACCTGTATGGAGGATAGTTCCAACAAGGATGCCTCAGCCATTAATCATGAACTTGATCTATAATGAGGAATCCATATATTAAGATGGTATTTTTAAATTTTTTTACCTTTCTCTACCACCTTGATTTTCAGTAAGATTAATTTCAAACAAATTTTCTTTTAATGTCTTCATTTTCATAACTGCCATACTTTAGAAGTACATTATTTCACTTACGTCTGCTTTTTGTTTTGAACCTGTCTTCTCAATACTGAGTTTGTTGAAGAGATGAAAAATTTAAAATATTAAATTAAATAAATTGCCTTTTCTTAGTTTTTTTCTCTGTTTTATTTTCAAAAGAAACCAAGTTTTTTCACCTTGATCCCCAGTGACACTTGTTATCAGAAGGCTTTGGGTTTTAAGAATTATAAAACTTTGAAAATATTGATTTCTTAATTGACATACGAAACTTGTAAATATATATGGAATAACATAAGATGTTTTCAGTGTATGTGTATGCTGCATAATGATCAGATAAAGGTGAGCCTGTCTATCTCCACAAATGTTGTATCATTTCTCTTGGTTGTGTTTGAACTATATCATAAATTATCTGTATAGTTTTGATTTTAATTGATCTTAAGTTTTCCTTCTAACATTGTGGCCCAAAATTATTTTTCATTTTTAGACAGTGAGACTCTATCTTAGAACTTATCTTCCCTTAGAACTCTTCCATTTCTGACAAAATGAACTTTTATTTCTTTTCTAGAGCATATTTATTCTTTTAAGCATTCATATCATTACTCTATAAACTCCTTTTTTGTGTAAAAATTATTGTAACAACATTTCTATTTTTAGACTTATTATTTTTAGTTTCAGTTTGAAAGCTAATAATCAAGTCTGATGGGCTGTTTATTTTTACATTCTTCCTTTCTACTCTTAAAACTGAATTGCCATAAAAAAATAGATCTAAAAGCTCTTTAAGAGATAGTCATATTTTTGTTCTCATTAAAAAGTAACCTACTTGTATTAATGTGTTTTCTTCTGCCTAATATTACTAACCATCTATCTAATGGTAATAGCTTCCACACTATATTTCCTCAGAAACTTGAATTCTCTCATATTGTTATTTTAAGGCTCTTCTTTCATTTTTGTTTCTGTCAGCTATAAAATGTTCAAGTCTTGTCTTAACTTTTTGGTTCAGTATCTGAATTTATAAGGTAGATCTTTGCAAGTATATAACATGAAAAGAGAAATAAGAATGTTCATGTGTGACCTTAGCAGGTTCATTGAGCTAGTCTTTCCTCCCTGGCTCCTGCAGGATGGAAGCCCCGCTACTTACTTTGCCAGAGCTTCAGATCCTTTTTGAGCAGATGGGCAGCCTGCCCTGTGCAATTCATCAGATTAGGGATGTTAAGGTAAGAGAGACCTGTCCAGATGGAATTTTTGTGAACAGGATATATGGGGAGAATTCTGAGGACAAGGGGAATTTCAAAACCTGCTTGTTCTAAACAACCCTTACAATGTCAGATTCTTTTCTAGAAGATATAGAAATGGATGGTTCCCTGTTGTTTTTGTTCCTACAGGTTATAGTTCCAGGGATTTCTTCCAAATACAACTTTAATGTTAAAGATAGTAAACAGATATTATATATTAATATATTTTTTTTACATAATTTTTTACTCAGCTAAAGATCATGGCTTACAACAAGTATAAATCAAAAGAAAGTGTCTGAGAGAAGATGGGAAATGGGTTAAGACTAGGTCATTTGAATGACTGAATGGCAAAAATGTGTATTGTCTCCTAATTTCCTATACAGGATGTCCTGCAACAGGTGGAGGCCTACCAGGTTGAGGCTCGTGAGGCTCTGACCTCATTGCCCCCAAATATAGGGCTGTTGCAATCCTTATTGGAGAAAGGACAGAAGCTGGGTGTGGAAGTACCTGAAGCCCATCAGCTTCAGCAACAGGTGCAGCAGGCACAATGGCTAAATGAAGTGAAGCAGACATTGGCCCCCTCAGCCCAAAGGAGGTCTCTTGTTGTCATGCAGGGGCTGTTGGTAATGGGTGCCAAGATAGCCTCCAGCCCTTCTGTGGACAAGGCGCTGGCTGAGCTTCAAGAACTGCTGACTATTGCAGAACGCTGGGAAGAAAAAGCCCATTTCTGTCTGGAGGCCAGGTGGGGCCCAATCTCTCCCATCTGAACCCTTACAGTAATTTTGACCTTAGAGTTTAGGGGTACTCCAAAGCATTGGTTATAAGTGTCATTGACACCAGACTACCAATTAGGCATTGCTAAACTCCTAACAAATTATCATCCAGACCCATATCTTTTGACATGTTTGGTAGTCCCTTACTTTATTTTAGGTAATAATCCTGGAGGAATGCCATGGCCCAGTTTGTTTTCTGATCATAGATGCAAAACTTCTAAATAAATATGGAATAATAGAAGATGTTTTTAATGTATGTGTATGCTGTAAGTTTCCAGGAACTCCTCATGAGTAATTAGAACATTCCTCAGATGTGGGTCGTTGCTGTTTTCTTTGTCAGACTTATTGATTATGCTTTTACCAAGCTCAAAAAGTACATTCAGATATTGTCTAAAATATTTAATAGTGTGTTTCTTTCCCCAAATATTCGTAGGCAGAAACATCCTCCAGCCACATTGGAAGCTATAATTCGTGAGGCAGAAAACATTCCTGTTCACCTGCCTAACATTCAGGCACTCAAAGAAGCTTTAACTAAGGCACATGCTTGGACAGCTGATGTGAATGAAATTCAGGTGAGGACTGCTTTCCATTTTCCTGCTATAGACCTGCAATTAGGAGAAAAAAAAAAATCTACTTTGTTTTTACTTAGTTGGATTGTTGTAGAAACTGATGATGGGAGTTTGAGGGTTAGATGCCACTAGAAGAGAGAATTCTACTTCAGTTTTCATACTCCGTTGGGTTGTGCTATATAGTGAAGAGGGAGATTGAAGAGCTCAATTGAAGAGCTGAGGAATTAAACGTAACATCAGTGGGGAAAGAAGAAACATGGCCAAGAACTGAGCAGAGGCCCCAGTATAACTTTGAGGGAGTTACTGGGTTAAGGAAAATTTTTGTTCTGAGTTAATGGAAGTAGGATCCCCAGAAGATAATTTGTTGCTGTCCAGTTTTCTTTTGCCCTGTACTATGATTATACAGCATAATGCCAGCCTTGGTCACACAAATCTAGACATAATTATTGACATAATTTAACTGAGCTCTTTCTTGTCCATCTTCCAGAATGGTGACCACTACCCGTGCTTGGATGACTTGGAGGGTTTGGTAGCAGTGGGCCGGGACCTGCCTGTAGGTTTGGAGGAATTAAAACAGCTGGAGCTTCAGGTACTGACAGCACATTCCTGGAAGGAAAGGGCTTCCAAGACCTTTCTCAAGAAGAATTCTTGCTACACCCTGCTGGAGGTGAGACCTGGCAGCACTTTCTGTGCCTGCCTGTAGCTTTTGGAAAAGCTCATAGGAGAAGGTGAGCTTTGGGCACAATAGGGACAGACAGGCCAGTCATCTCTTTTGTCTGTCTGCTGTAGGTCCTTTGCCCATGTGCAGATGCTGGCTCAGATCGCATCAAGCGCAGTCGTTGGGTGGAGAAAGAGCTGGGGTTATACAAATCTGACACAGAGCTACTGGGACTGTCTGCTCAGGATCTCAGGGATCCAGGCTCTGTGGTAAGGAACTTGATACAGATGGGGTGAGTTAGGTTCTGGGTGTCTTCCTGAAAAACCTAGCAATGGCATGGTATATGAACAAAATGATCATAAGCATTGTTTGCTGCCTGAGGCTTTTTCCTGGTTTAGAAGTATTCAGGGGCCAGAACAGAGAGAGAATGGCCTGCTGACGTGGTTTCCCCCTCCTCTTCTGGGCAAATAGATCATAGCCTTCAAGGAGGGGGAACAGAAGGAGAAGGAGGGTATCCTGCAGCTGCGTCGCACCAATTCAGCCAAGCCCAGTCCACTGGCATCGTCGACCACGGCCTCTTCTGCAACCTCCGTCTGCGTGTGTGGGCAAGTGCCAGCCGGGGTGGGAGCTCTGCAGTGTGACCTGTGTCAGGACTGGTTCCATGGGCGGTGTGTGTCGGTGCCCCGCCTCCTCAGCTCCCCAAGGCCCAGTCCCACCTCATCCCCGCTACTGGCCTGGTGGGAGTGGGACACCAAATTCCTATGCCCACTGTGCATGCGCTCACGGCGCCCACGCCTGGAGACCATCCTGGCACTGCTGGTAGCCCTACAGAGACTGCCTGTGCGGCTGCCTGAGGGTGAGGCCCTACAGTGCCTCACAGAGAGGGCCATCAGCTGGCAAGGCCGTGCCAGACAGGCTCTAGCCTCTAAAGATGTGATTCCTCTGTTGGGACAACTAGCTGAGCTTCGTCAGCAGCTTCAGACTGATCACAAGTCCAAGACACCCCATACCAATTCTTCAGTCCCTGCCTCTGAATCTATCAGAGAAGCCAGAAGCAACACTGTGCTTAAGGTGAGCTGCTCAGCCCAATCCTTTTCCTCAAATTCTTGTCTTCTGGCCCTGTTTTGATTTATATTCCAACCTTCCTGCCTACGTAATTCTGCATCCAGCCAAAGTCCGTAAACACTGCTCCTTGCCAGCAGACTGATTCTGCCTTCTTCCAGGAGGGGCAGACCCCAAGTTTAGAATTGGGAGAGGAAATATAAAGTCTGGTTCTTCAGTTAAATTATTGCTACCCATTCTTGGTCCTTTTGGCAGGTGGAGGGTTTTCCGGAGACTGGAGAAAGCATGACCAGTCTTGAGAAGTTAGCTTCAGGGGAGGTCTCAGATAAAAGTGGTAGGTATAGATGTGTATAAGTGGGCTGTTGACTGGGTATCATAAGAATGATGCCTGTGGTCTTTAGCTCTGCTGTGGTGTTAAGACTCAGGACAAATTTAACTGAACTTGTTTCCCAACTCCTTAGATCTGGAACTGCTATCCTCATTGTTGCCAAAGTTGACCGGTCCTGTGTTGGAACTGCCAGAGGCAACCCGGATTCCCCTAGAAGAGCTCATGATGGAGGGGGACTTGCTTGAGGTGTCCCTGGATGAGAATCACAGCATCTGGCAGCTGCTACAGGCTGGACAGCCTCCAGACATAGAGCGGATCCGCACACTTCTGGAGGTGAGGAGAGAGGTCATAGCCAGGGGCCAAGTAGGCAAGAAGCTGAGTCTTAACATTTCACCCACAACCTCTTTCTGTTTGTGTATTGTAGCTTGAGAAGCCTGGTCATCAAAGAAGTCATACACGGGGCCAGGCACTAGGGAGACAACAACGGAGGCGGAGGCAAAAAGTGGATCAGGGAAGGAAGGGTGAGGATCTTATTCAAGAAGAGGTACAGTCAAAAAGGGTCCGGAGCTCAGGGATTAAACTTCAGGAAGAGTCATTCAAAGAAGAAACAGACAATGAAAATCTGTTCCTGACATGCCCTGGAGACCACAGTCCTATCTTGGAAGAGAACCAGGATAGCTTACAACAGAAAGATCAGTACCCTTCAGCTTCTCCTCTAATGCCTTTGCTCCCTCAATCCTCCCATCACCAGCAAGAGTTGTGACAGTAGCACACATGGTGGTTTTACTTTCTTTTTAAGCTCTGCCTCCTGGTCAGGACTTAAGTAGTGGTGTAGACTTATTTCCTATCCAGAATCTGTCATCAGATTTTAAATCCTAATGATACCATAATACCATATTAATGGTCCTCTGTTCCCAAGAACCACTTTCTGTTTGCCTCCTGCCAGAAATCTCTTGCCAGCAACAACCCTGGGATTAGCACAGAGAAAGTGATTTCTTCACCCAGCTTAATTCTAATAAGGATAGGAACAAATAAAATTTGAGAAAGGCCAAGCTTAAGACCTTCTCCCAGTCCACTTTGTCTGAAACACCCTTATCTTGATCTTGTATCTTTAAAATATTTTGGTGCTTCAAGGCTTCATCTTCTCCTTTTTTCCTTCCCTTGGTTCACACTGTAAGAAAAAAACATTGTATGTTGTAATTATTTGCTAAGGGCAAAAAAAGTAGGGTGAAAATTTGAAAGTATTGGTTTCAGTTGTATATTTTTAATGTGCTTCTTTTGTTAAAAATAAAATATGATTGTATTATGAATCTCTGGATCTACTTGTAGTTTTGGGAACACTGGAGTAGAGGACTGAAATCTGTTCGCATCCCAATAATGAGTCAACACAAATTCTACTCTGTTGTGGGAGAGGGAAGTCATGAGTAAGTAATATTCACATAAGATGTAAGGAATTAGGAGAAGGTTATTTTATCCACCCTTCATGATTGTCCATTTGCTCCAGGATCATTAAATTGAAAGGTTGTCCTTTCTCTGTCCAGTTGTTTATGCAGCTTTGACAAGACCAATTAATCCCAAGTAATAATACAGGTTCCTATCTTTGCATTTTTTCATATTCCATTCATATAAACTATTATGCTTCCCTTAATCTTTATGGTAATTACATGTTGTCCTCTTCATTTTGAATCTTTTAAATAGTTTCCTATTTGTTTATTTATTTTTTTGGTACTACACAGTGTAGACTTTGGTGTTTCTGATGTCTGTATTACTACTGCCCTTCTTGCCTACACTACTTGTCCCCTTTTTTCCCCACTTTACTCATTTCTAAGCGGAGCTTTGTTAACTGGAAATAATCATAATCCTCTTCTCTAGTTATAGTTTTCTTATTCCTCAACATACAGTAATTCCTCCTTACCTCATTATAGAGATCAATTAAGATAACAAGGAAATTTTATAATGTTTTACCTAAATGTGAGAAATGTTGTTTGATCCTTTTTTTTCCCCCTTCCACTCATAAATGTGAGGGAACGGCTATGATTTTCAAAACAGGTCCTCAAGAAGTTTATAAATACTTAAGCATGTAGTGAATAGACTGAGCACTTCCTAAAATATCTTCAGAAAGGGACTGACTCATAATTACTTATCTACTTCCCACTAAGGCAGTGCCAGAAGTCAGGACAGTTGTACATTTTTCATAAGACACCTCTGCTAGTTGTTCCTGTGTTAATCTCACTAAGGAAGTAAGTTCTAATACCACAGAAACTATGCACAAACTTTCAGCATTAATTTTTGTGTGTAAATGACGATTTACCCTTTGATTATACTGAATTGAATATGTTCCTTAAGAAACATCAGTCTCAAGCCATAGAAATGACAGTGTCACCAGGTGACATAACTCACACCTGTAATACCAATTATTTGGGGAATAGGCAGCAGGTTTCCATAATCCAGGCCAGTCTGGGTGGTTTAGCAAGATGCTATCTAAAAATCTTAAAGCAAGACCAGGGAGGGGAATGTAGCTCACTGGTAGAGTATGCCCTGGGGTTTAATTGCCAATGCAAAAAAA